GGGGGGGGGCGTGGTGGTGGTGAATTTGATGAATAGTCTCAGAAAATAAAATTGTTCTGGCCAAGAATGAAAAGTCAGCGTTGATGTTCCAAAAAGATAGAAAGCTGGAAATGGGAATAGATGGCTGAAACGGAAATCAAGTATTCGTTTCCTTGTGAAGATGCTTTGGAAAGTCACCACTCCTGCAGCAGCATTTCATGCCCTTTCCTAACGACTGGATCATCTTTGCCAATGAAGGCAAGCTGTGAAAATCAACTGTGCTTCAGGGAGCACTACATCTTCTCCAAGGACTGTGAATCTCCCAGAAAACCCTGTCCTCTCCCAACACACTCCCACGGGCATTCTGCGTTCTCCTGGCACAATGGGCATGAAGCAGGAGAAGCCTAAAGCTCACAGAAAAATCACTGTAACTAACACAAACTGCAATTGAGAGGCTCTCATCTGCAATCATTTTCTCCAGACGTTATGAAGTGTGTGGGGAGAAGGTGGGGGTGAGGAGCGGGAGGCAGGAAAGCCACCAATGGGCCCCCAACCTACTCCTGAGCAGCAAAAGGGCTCTTTATTGTTAACCTTAAATGTCCTCCCACTGCTGCTGGCTTCGCGTCACCCTGGCACTGCTGAGCTGGGAACGACGGCTCCCCTTCCTCTCGTGAGACTGCTCAACAGCATCCTTTTAGAGCAGGAATCGAGGCAGGATGCCCAGACAACCAAGCTGTGTTTTAAAGTTCCCTTGCCGGGGACAGGAAGATTCTGGCCCTTATTCTTAGTAACCCACACTGAGCTCAGGGGACTTAAATAAAATTGTGAGGGAAAACTTCAGATGGCACTTTCTATCGGTTAAGTGATAACACAATATTTACATATCGGGTCTCAGGTCTAAAAGAATGCTCCATTCTCGTTCAGAATGAAAGATATCTAGAGGCCTAACTAAGGGGTCCTACAGCCACAGTAAGGACCTGACCTGATAGCCCGCTGGGGAATGAAACAATAGGAAACTGGTCCAGCCACTCAATGCCTGGGGGTCCCACAAATGATGTGGTTCATCTTCAGTGAGACTAACGGTTTTAGGTGGGGGAGCAGCATTATCAGTTGAACACTGTACAGCGATACTCTGATTCTGAGTAAAGAGAGAACTGAAGGTAGACAAGAATTGGAGGCAGAGATGTGAAAGGGCTGGGAAGATACAGCCAGCAGGGTTAAGAAGACAGAGAAAAATTAATGGACGTGGAGACATATTCAAGACGTACTTCTAACGAGCTCTGGGCAATAAAACAATGCTCCAAGAAAAAAGAATACAAGCCAGGTCAATTATAATACAGAGTTAATAACTTAAAAAAATGATTCCCTAAATTACATATATATGTCATTTATAAGGGACAAAATGGACTCTGAAGAAAATGTCTTATACCCTGAAGTCTCTTTTTCCTTTCCCCCATGGTTTTCTATTGACGTTCATATGTGACAAGGCAGAAAATGTACCTCACTTAGAGTTAACCATGTTGCACACAAAGCACCAAATGGAGAAGCGGGATAGGAGGGACACCGAGTGGTCCTTATAGCGTTGTTGTTGTTAGGTGCCATCCAGTCAGTTTGCACTCACAGCAATCCTACATGCCACAGAAGGAAATACTGCCTGGTCCCACATCATTCCCCTCATTGTGTTTATACTTAATCCTAGCTCCTCTAATTTTACCAAACGTGGGGCCCTTTCCAGGGACTGGCCTCTCCTGATGACAGGTGCAGAATACCTGAGACAGGTCTCACCATCCTAGCTTCTAAGGAGCATTCTGGCTGTACTTCTTCCGAGAGAGAGATTTGTTTGTTCTTCTGGCAGTTTTGATACTTTCAAGACTCTCTGCCAACACTCTAATTCAAATGCATCGACTCTTTTCCTGTCTCTATTCCTTGTCCTCACTCGCTTCCTGCCTTGATACAGTTTTCACATGTATATGCAATAAGTAAAAGTGCCATGGCTTGTCGGACACACGATGACCCTCAAAGTGACATTAATGCTACCAGCACTGTAAACACCAATAGGGTCACCACGTGGACAAGTTTCAGCAGTGCTTCCAGACTAAGACAGGCTAGAAAGAAGAAACAGATGTTCCTCTTCTGAAGGATTCACCACTGAAACCCTTAGGAAGCGCCGTGGAACACCGTCTTGAAAACTGGGACAAAGCAAATAGGAGCTGAGTGACGCAGGGCTTGCCGTGATAAACCCAAACTACTGACGCCACAGTAGAGAAAGCCGTAATTGCCCAGGCCACGGTGAAAGTGGCCTATTACACATCGGGTATAAAACTCCAGTATGGAATAAAAACTAATTTTTTTTTTTAATTTAAAAAGGTTTTAGATGCACGCCTCCCAGTAGGGCAGGATACCATGACTCAGAATGACCTTAAGCCCTCAATGGAATAAAGCAAAGAACACACCTGTGGCCGGAGCGAGGCTGAATGGACATACAGCACCCACAAGGAAGGAATTCCTCTTACATATTATAAATAATAATACAGTGACTGCAAACAATTCCACTTTGGTGAACTATTTCACCACACTGATGAGTCTCCAGAAATATGTATGGATTGTGATAAGAGCTGTAAGAGCCCCCCAATAAAATGATTTTTAAAAGAAAGAAAGAAAATGTCACACTGGAAGTAACTTCACACATTACTTTAAAGGAACCTTTCACTAGGATCACACAAGGCTTGGTTCCCAAAGCCACCCCATTATAGGGACCCTCTATTTGCTGAGCCCTTGCCACAAACAGTGTAGGAAATCTGAAGCCTGTCCACTACACCATGCTGGAGAGATCTTACAAAAGAGAAAGGAACTGGAAAACTGTAACAATCAATTGCTAGAAAACCATTAAGCAAAAAATGAGGCTGTTGGAAATACTACAGACATTTCAAAGTACGCTATTAATAACAATCCATCTGAAACCAAACTGTAAGCATTTTGTAGTGTGAGAGAAAAAGAAATATACTATTAAGACATTTTAATGGCTATATATAAGGCAGCATGATTAATATGAGGATAGCCAAACACAGAAAACTTTACAACTGTGTTTTGGATCAGTCCCATTTCCATAAGGGAAAAAACCATCAATTGCATCATAACCATTTCTCGGAGAAGCCAAGATGGCAGTGTTTGTGGCTGCACTTCAGCTAGAATTTGAGTAGAGAAAATCGACGGAGTTTGTTTGTTTGGGTCCTTGGCTCCAATATTGCTACATTTCATTACAGTGGTTTAGCCAAGGGCACAGTCATTCTATTACTCATCTAACTTAACAATTCATTTCAACCAAACCAATGCCTAAGCACCACCTGTGTGCCGGACGCTATTCTATGTTCTGAATTGTTTACCACTCACAATGAACGAAAGATGATGCCCTATGACAATAAAGGCCAATGTTTAAACTTCATGAAGAAAAAAATGGGCCCCGTAGGAAACAGACTTTCCAGGGCAGTATTTCTTTACTTAGGACCGTAATTATTGCCTGTAACACAAAGTACTCTAACTGAAATCCTAGATTTCTTGTTCTTCAATCAGCATCTCAACTTCTTTCCATTCAGTCATTAAAAAAAAAAAAAGTTCTGTCTCAGTGTGCTTTTGTGCATCCGGCACTATCTCAGGCCCATCCCCAACAAGAGAAGCCAACCCTCTAGGCAACTGTTTTCTGTAGTCCACATCTTACCCGCTGCTAATCCTCTCGCAAGCGTAGGTTTTGTAGTTCTGTCAAAGCATATGGAAGACAAGCGTTTGCTTTGTATTCTACTTGATAGAGCTCATGCTTTTAAAAATACGCAAAAGTGAAAAGAAACATTTATGAGTCGGATGAAATCATGACTGTAAACCGAGGCGTTGCTAAGCAAAAAAACTACAGAGCAGCTACCAAGCCTTATGATGGTAACGAGCAGGAATATTC